TATTTTGTTCTACTTTTAAAAAAAAAATCTACATAGAATTTGGCTCAAAAATATCGTATTGGTTCATTAATGATTTTAAGAATTAAATATTTTGGGAAGATTATTCTTTAATTGAGTATGGTTTCTTAAATAGTTTAATTTTAAATATTGATTACAGAAAAAAAATTCAACTAGCGAATATACATACATATAAACTCAGTTGTAATTGAAAATGAGGCAAAATTAAGAAAAATAAATTCTAGTTATCTAATATGTGAAAATTAATTGAAAATTACCTATTGTCACTTTGCGATGAGACACCGGCAATCGTCTACAACCTGTACCATTTTTTTTGGCATCACCATCATAACCATCGCGGCAATGACACTTATAAGAACCCGAAGTATTGTCGCAAATTCCATCGGAGGAGCACGGATTATTGTTGCATTCATTGATATCTGCCGCCCACCCATCACCATCAGACATCAAAGCATAAGTCTTTTAATTAAATAATATAAANGAATGCATAAGTCTTTTAATTAAATAATATAAAAATTATAAAACTAACCTTGGCACCCGAGGTAGGGATTGCCCTCATATCCTTCCTTGCACCTGCACTCATATCCTCCATTAAAGGAATCCCAGTTAGTGCAAAGACTATTCTCTCCACATGAAGATGAAGTTGTAGTGCAATTCGAATAAGGACCAATTCTCCAATCTAACTCCAATGGTTTATCTATAAACGCTTTATTATTCTTGAGGAATGCTTCTGGATCATTAAGATCGGATAATTTGAAAGTAAAATTAACAATATCGCCGACCATTCCAATGAAGGCTAAACTACACTGGAGATCTTTCCTCACTTTTCCCCAAATATTATGTATGTCGTGCAGTTCAACATAGAGATAGGCAGATTTGGATATGGAGGTTTGGCAACAACCCACGAAGGGGCATATTCCGACGGAATCACTTGGAAGGTGTGGACAGAACGGCAGACATCCAATACCGCTGTAGTTATGGGTTAGGTTTGAAAACTGTAGTACCAAAGCCAAGTCATCACAACCAACTGCTGTTAGCTGATTCGCATCCGACAAGATATAAGGGGTAGAAGAAAAATCGAGGTTTATAGGATTCGTTGTACTGTAATTGGTGCCATTGCATCTACGTGTCAGCTGTGTCTCCGAGTTCTTAACATAGATTTGGGATTTTGAGATATTAACAACCTCTAAGTCATCGAGATACTCATCAACATAGAAGAGGTAAGGTTTTGGAGGGTTGAAGGAAGTATTGCAGTAGATATCGAAGTACGAGTTCATGGAACAATTTGGCTCGATACCAAATGGGTATGGAATTTCTACGTTACCACAGCTGCTTTGGCAGCCAGATTTGGTGGTGATGTTAGAGTTTGACGGTGTTGCCACTGCCAGCGAAAACAAGAAGAACATATGGAGCAAAGCGTAACGAATAACCATGTTTTTCTTTGCAATATGCATGTTCAAAATGGTTAGGCCAATCTCTTTATATAGCATGTTGGAAAACAGTTGTAGGCTTGCTATTCAATATATGAAGTATATACATCACCTAAATCGTTAAAAAATATTAAGAAACTTTTCTATTTATATTTTGTATTCAGGTACGTGCTCAATTTGTTTATTTTTACTTCATTGTGTTTCAACAAACATATGTGAGAGATATTATTTTAATTCTAAATAATAATAATAAGTAATGTTATACGATACCTCTTTTTTAGTCTACAATGGATACACATCTATAACAACCATGGGATATGAGTGAGTGTAGTCTAGTTAGGTCTATTTTTTCTCTTGTTTTACAGTGAAAAAATTATGACAATAGAGTGTATTTTTATCAAAAAAAAAAAAAAGTAAACAAAAAAGAACAAATTGGGATTGAAACCATTCGATTCGCAAACTAATATAAAAAATCGAACTGAAATCGATCGATTTTCTGTGCAATATCCCAAAACCTACGTGTTGCTTATAGGAATCAGTGCTAAATCAACTGATTCGATCAGATTCCAATTCTGTTACGTCAATTGAGACAAGAATCTGACTTTCAATAAATAGCTACAAGCTTGTTGAAGATTTTTCTTTATAAAAGAACTACATATTTACATGGAAAAAATTTGGCTTAAATATTTAAGATGTCAAGGATTAAAGATAAAAATTCTTTATATAAATAAATTTGTATTTTTTATTAAGCAATTAATAACACATTTTGTTACGCAATCGACAACTTTTATTGATTTGTACGTCTGACAAAAATGTTGTGCGACATTTTATCTTGTTCTTCAGACCAAGTCAAAAACATCAATATCATTTTGGAAAATTCCCATCCACATGCCAAATAATTTTTAGGCCGGCCGGTGGGATTCTTTTCTTGAGTTTTCTATTGTTTGATAATAATGTC